CAAACAAGTGGACACACATGCGTTGGGCATAGCTATGGCAACTGGGAAGTCCACTACATGGTGGCCAGACCATGTCTTCATTTTTGTTATTAATGGACATCGCTCAATCCCTGGTTCATTATGCTTTGGAGGACTCTCATTGGAGAGGAATCCATTTTCAAGGTTTCAGTTATCTGTGGTCTTAATCTCTTTATTTTATTTATAATTTTTGAAATGAGCATTGTTTAATAGCCCCGGCTGACCTCTTCGTGGCTACCTATGCAGAACAGATTATTCTTAGCAATCCTCCTGCCTCAGCCTCCAAAGTGTTGGGATGATAAGGCATATTCTACCATTCCTGGCCTCTTATATCCTCTTTAAGACAATAAATACTGTAAGGCTCAGAGGTTCAGTGACATGTTATAAGGGAACCATGTAATCAGGAAGCTTGCTATAAAAGCCTGATCTTGAGTCCACACTAGACCCCCTGAGCTAGCCGGCACGTCTTAACCAGTGAGCCCCAGGTGACCTGACTGTACATTAAAAGGTAAGAATTGTCTGTAATAACAGCTACTTCAATATCGGATTTCCTGAATTTTCTGACACACGAATTGTCTTTGACTGTAAAGACTCAGGAAAAGCTCCTGGGACTACTACAAAGGAATGGAGTGATGTATTAGTACACTGCTGGAGTGTGGTTTACATCAGGAAGCAATTTGCTGACCAAGGAAATTTCAAATGAAACACCCCTGTTCGGTTAACAAGTAGACAATCTGATCTATAAAAGGAGCTTCAATTAAGTGAGTTCATTAATGCGTTTTGAGAATAATATCTTGATCCTATGCCTAGAAACAAATGATTTTTCTCTTATAATCAAACTACATCTTTTAGAAGAAATAGCACTCACTGTGGCAAGCGTATCTTCCTATTTGGTGCAGTTCAGTGACTTAACCCGAGATTTCAAAAGCCATCCCCTGGTTTCCACTTTCCGTTCCAATCCTAGGGGCAAAGCAAGTATTTGCTTTTAGCGTTGTTGACAGCCAAGCACTTCGCAAATGTTTCCACAAGGCCAGCTGCCCTTTGTGGAGCCTCCTGGGAACTTTCTTTTGGTTACTAACCCTCAAGTACATGCGAACCTTTATTTGTGAAGGTATTTGTCACATCCCATCTTTAAAGGAGGGTGATCCGGACATTGACTCAAGCTTGAAAATCTTTGTTTTTAGTCCACTCTCTGGGTTCCTCTGAAGATTTTCTCCTGTAGCCTAACCATCTTATTGCTACCCTAGGAGGGAATGCACACACACACACACCATACACACACCACACACACACACACACACACACACACATTCTTTCTCTCTCTCTCTCTCTCACACACACACTCACATACACATTTGCATACACATGCACACATTCACATACTCTCATACACACACTCACACATTCACACACAACACACATTCACAGACACATTCACATAACACACTCACACATCCATACAAACTTTTACACACATTCACACACACACACACACACACACACCATACACACACACATATACATTCTTTCTCTCTCTCACACACACACATACACACTCACATACACATTTGCATACACATGCACACATTCACATACTCTCATACACACACTCACACAGTCACACACACACATCCACACAAACTTTTACACACACACACACACACACACACACACACACCTCTATTTTTCCTATTTATCCACTAAATTTTAGAGGACTGGAAATTTCGAAAACAGTGATTTCCTATCTGAAAGCGTCATCACTGAAGCTTTGTATGTGGCTCTGCAGAGACACTTTGATGATAAATTTTGCATGGAATTTTGTGCTTGCATCCTTCGCTTTAACCGGTCCAGCCATCTTTCCCTGGATTCTTTTCTTAAGGCCACCACAGTGCTCTATTCACTTTTGAAAGTTGTTGACTGTGTTTAATGACTGGAACTTTGAGCCACACACTACGTTGAATAAAGGCCCCATTCAGGTGTCATCTGAAGATCAAAATTGTCAGTGGTAAAAACCTGTTAATTCAATAGAGTGGCTGTCTGAGCTCCCCCCCAGCAGGTTTGGTTTTCACTGTTCATGCAGGGAATGCGTCATATATGTCTGTGCGTGCATGTGAATGGAGCAAAACCTGTATCCTGCAGTGTGTGACACTTGGTTTCACAATATTGTGTCACAATGTTTTTTATTTTAAATCTCAGTTAAATGGGTGGATCTGTCCTTATTTTTGGTAACCTGACTCTTCTCTAAGATATGGGCTATGACTTCATTTCTTCTCATCAGACCCACGCCTTCTGCTCATCACTTATGGTATATTTTTGCCTTCTCTTTCATCTTCAGAGAAACATGGGCTATTATTATTATTATTATTATTATTATTATTATTTATTATGAGTATTTTGGAGCAAAGCACCCTTGCTTTATGTGGCGACTCTTGTGGCTTTCTAAATGCACTTGATTTAGCTTTCAATGTGTAATTACTGCCAAACAAGTTAATTGCTTTATAAGTGTCCAGAATTCCCTGGTTACATTTGCTTGCATTTACCAACCTTCATCACACATCAACTCCTCAACGTCAACACAAATGATTGTTAATGAATGCCTAATGCCGTATTCATTAGGAAATCAGGTTAATGACCGACAGCGACTATCCCAGCAATTTTATTTCTTCAAGCCCCTCCCCCACTGGCTTGTGGATTACAATAGCCGTTTAGTTTGAAAATAAATTCTACCTGCATTTGAAGGTTCAAGGAGAGGCTTTCCCAGAGAGCTGATAGATAATCCTACTCTCTGTTGCTTCTTTTCTCTGGTAAATACCTCCCAAGTCATTAGTTTGTGGATATCAGATACATTCAGTCATTTGTATATCAGCTACACCTAAACAAAATGTTCTACTTTTCCTTCTAAAGGAACAGAATGTACTGTTGGCCATGGTGGAGCCTGTTTGGAAAGTACCCATTGCAGGACTGCTGTGCACACGTGGGGATACTGTGTTCCCATCCTGGGCACTCTGAATGATGCTCCTCAGGTGTGGCGCGACACAAGCATAGCTTGGACAGTGGTACCGAGGAATCTCTGTTGAAATCAATGTCAGAGCAGTGTGCAAAGGGTCCTGTCCACCTCAGGTAAAGGCTACCTAGTTGGGAAACCCCAGATGCATGGAAATGCATGGTTGGAGTGAATGCAGAGGTTTCACTGATGAGGGGGCCTGAGATGCATGTTGGGCATGAGCCTGACTTCCCCTGGTGGTCCTTCCGTCCTGCACAGATGAGGTGGTTTCCAGGTTTTCCAAACAGACTTCTGGGGTTTGAAGGCTGCATATGCTCCTAGTAACTCACCAGAGAGTTAAGTATTTAGAGGCGTCTAGGCTGGTAAAGCTGCATTGGCTCTTCACTATGTTGGGCGATCTGAAGTAACTTCTTCACGGAGCATGCAAATGGTGGTAGTTTAGGATTCCTTTCTGCTTCTTACCTGTGTTTTCTAGTCCTGTTTGTTGTATGTTTGTCATGTACAGAAATGACACCAGGGTTACCATGTAAAAGATGTGTTTGCTTGACTTCATCGGCTCACACCTGTGCCTGTATTTATGGTATATTTATAATCACTTTCAGGGCTCTTGGAAATCTTTGTACTCACTGGTATATTTCCTCTAGATTCCAGGAGTTTTATTCTTTTCCTGCCCTCTTAAACCTAACCTTTGATTTCTCATGTCATTCAGTCTTGCTTTGGATTTTAGGAAGACCATTATTTCTTCTTGATTTTTGTTGAGTAGGAAGACGTCTGTTTCCCAAGTCCACACCATCTACCACCATTGAATCTGCATACATCTGTCTGTCTTTCTCCTCCACAACATTCAGCTTTACTGCTTTTCCCTGCATGAGTCTTTGTAACTATCACTGTTTTAAATCCTGGTCATCCAGGGCTGAAGAAATGCTCCACAGTTAAAAGAATTTGCTGATCTTGCTGAGGATCCAGGTTCAATTCCTAACAGCCACACCAGACAGCTAACAATCAACCATTTCTCCAGTTACAGGAAATCACACACCCTCTTCTGGTTGCCTTGGACACTTTCATACATATGGTGAATGTACATACACTCAGGTACATACAACTACACATAAAATTAATCAACCAATGAAATGTTTAAATCCTTGCCACCTTGATGAAAAGTAGAAGGGCTACTGTTTTTCAGTTGCATGCCTGTATCCTGGCCTTGGGCATGTTGGGGTGTGCTCTTCAAGGTACCAGGATTGAGTTTAGCAAATGCTGGGTCAAGGGCTCTGAACACTGTGACTAACTAAATGAAAAACATCAAATTGGAAACAAGAGGTTAGAAAACCAATCCTGATATCATCTTATTAAGGTTTGACATTTTTCTGGAAAATGTCAAGGTTCTCTCCCATCATGAGGTCCTCAGGTTACCTTCTCTGGCTGCCCTGGGCAATCATATTATATGCATTGCACATTTGTTTCCAGCAAGTTTTTCCCATGTTAATTCTGCATAACATATAGTTCCAAATTAATGACTTCCACCAAGTAGTGTTCATTTCTTATTAATGTTCTTGGGTATGTGGGTTAGCTTTGTGTATATCAGTCGAGGATGACTCAAGATGATGGGACATATGCCAAAAGCATATGGCAAAGGGTGTACCAGTTTAATTCTGTTTCATCTTAATTGAAGTTTAAAGGAACTTCAAGAGTCATTTTCTCCCTTTATGATACACCAGCATCAACATTTGAAATTCATTCATGAAGTTTCTTTAAACTTCCTACATGTCGCTTCATCTGGACTCTGAAAAGTGGCAACTGCATTTGGAATTTGCCACAGTTCCCATGGTAACTGGGCCAGTGTTCTGGGTATTATCAGGTACTCACCGTATGAACGGCCATTCTTTGGATAAATGAGCTTCTGAGCTGCCTAAAACTCATCTCTCAGTGACAAAACGAGACTGAAGTGACGCCAGATGACTTGTTCCCTCTCTTCCAGAAGTCCCTCTGCTATCTTCCCATTGTGAGCAATGTGACCCTGTGGGAGAGAGGCGCATCTCAGACAAACGTGAGTAAACAGAATCCTGTTGCCTAGGACCACATCTGTACTGTCCTCTCTTGGTGTTCTGTAGCTTGACACTTGGCATCTATTCCTTCATACTTATTTCAGAAATTATAACTGTAAATTATTTGTGTTTAAATAAGGATGTTAAAAGATATTTCCCACAGAATCTTGAGTCTGTGTCTGAGAATCATGTGAGCTCTTTCTTCTTTGAGCACACAGATATATGTGTACCAAGGAAAGCCTCATCTGACTATGAAGACTAGAAACATGGACTAGATACTTTTTTCAGTGCCTATATGTGTCACAATTTAGGGGGTCTAGCATGATGATTTTGTCTTACAGTAGTCAATACAAGGAATGACTGGTTTGATACAGAAAACATCAAAACACTGAAAAATTTCAACACTCTGTGTGACCTCTTAGCAGGCTGCTTTTATTCCTTGGTTGCTAATGGCCCGTTCACGGAAGGCCAAAGTGAATGCCTATCTCTACGATGAGTGCCTCTCTCAGTGACTGTGGTGTGTACACAGAGATGGTCGCCTTGGCTAGCAGGCCAATCCCACTGTCGCGGAGCCATGGTAGCTTCCCAGATTTAGCCATACCTGAGCTTTGTTTACAAAAGCGGGGCTGGGAAAAGGAGGGACTTTTGTCCTGAAATACACATTGTAAGAGCTCTGTATGTCTCCATGTCCTTCCTATTTGCCTTGAGGGCAATTGCAATGTCATCTAAAGAGGACCTGACCCCAGAGTCCAGAGACACTGATGCCCTCACTAGAACTCAGGTAGATGAAGAGGGTTTGGGGGTGATTCTAAGATAGTTTTACCTTCTAGTTTGCCCTTTCCAAAAATTTGGTAGTTTCAGGCTAGCCAGGGCTACATGGTGACACCCTGTCTCAAACACACACACACACACACACACACACACACACACACACACACACACACACACACCCAAGAACAACAACCAACCAATGGGACAAAGAAAAATTTGGAAAGAAGAAAGCCCAAATCCAACAACAACAAAAGCTCCATCACGGTTTGTGAGTGGGTTTGCCCTGAGTTGGTGCTTACTCAAAAGTAGGATGCAGTGACCAGAAATAGAATTCTAGTAGCAACCAGAGGTGTAAACTCATGTTCTAAGATTAAAAACGAGGCCAGCGTGGAGAAGATGAAAACATGGCCTACTTAAAACACACAAACAAAGCCATGACCTGATTTTATGCCGACTCTTTCTGTGCTGGAGCAGAGAGCTGAGTCTAAATAAGGCATCTTCAGCTTTCTGTGTCAGTGGTTGTTTTTCCATTCGGACTTGAAGTCATTGGCCGCCTAAGAATCCATTCAGCTAATGGAGTCTGTGACTCACAGCAGGGTTTTGTAGGAAAGGGAAAGGACATTACAGAATCCCCTTATTGAGGCCATTCCATTAGTGTGCCTAGACCCTCAGAAAGCAGAACTTCCTAAAGGAAGGTCCCAAGTCTCTCTTGGAGAGATGTGTTCCACGTGGCAGTCATGCATTGCCTACACTGATACAGTGACATAAAGCTTGCTCGCAGCTGACTCCCGGACACCCCTCTTTTCACTGGATTTCAGCAAGGAGTGGTGGGTGCGCCCTGAAGTCCTGTCTGAGCCCTGGGTCTTGGCGTCTCCTGGGTGCTCAATTGGACCGGCCACTTCCTTCCTTTTGTTCTTTCTTCTCCCCTCTCTGTTTGTGTGCTTTGGGGGAATCCCCGAGATGGCAGTAAACATTTTAAGATGTTTCTCTTTAAAACACTTCTATGTTGTCATAGGTTATAGCTACACTATATGCTAACTATTGTATACTTCATTTCCTATTATATATCATATTTAGGGTGTTCTGTATTGTATGTCAAATACTGTATAACACATAGCATATATTAAAGAACATATATCATATGTGGGGCACTATCATAGATTACACATTGGACCCCCTCTATCTGGCCATCATCTGAATATAGGTGTTGAAGGATCATGCTTTTTATATTGTGTTCATTGAATACTAAAAAAATGGTCAGATGGCTGTTATAAAAACAGCAGTAGAGAAAAAGAAAAAAAATTGCCTTTTAGGAAATCCATGTCCAAAGTCAGGACAGAAATTTTAACATGATAAGCAAAAAATTAGAACAGTTTTCAATTAAAATTCAAAATTTCCTGTTGCTTCTCAAAGAGTCTATCAAGAGTGTGCCATGCTCAGTTCACTGTGACTGAGTTTTATTAAAATGTCCAATGCCAGAAATTGCTATGGAGAGAAAGAGAGAAATATGTAGCTCATCCTTTGAAGCGAGCAATACTTAAAAAAGGAAACAAATTATAGATCATTATAATTTATAAAAAACATTAAATGGAGTGCTAGCAAGTTTAAATTCAGCAGTCTATAAAATAAAATGCATCATGACTAATTAAGATTAATTCTAATGATACACCATAGTTTAATATAAAAGAGAAATTTATGAGATACATATTAATAAACCAAATGAACAAAAACATTCCCATTATCATGGTCATTTATTTCAACATTAATTCATGGGAGGAAAACTTTAGAAAATTGGGAATAGATGGGAACTTTTTTATTTAAATTTTTTTTTGTACAATGTATTTTGGTCATAATTTCCTCCTCCCTCAACTCTTCCCAGTTCCTCCCTATGTCTCTACCCACACAGTAGTTCATGTTCTTTCTCTTAGAAAAACAAAACCAAAAAAGGAAAAAAGAAAAAAAAAGACAAAAAAACCAATACAACTCTCCTCAAATGAAGAAATAGACTCCCCCAACATACAAACCATCACCACCACCACCACCACCACCACCACCACCACCAACAACAACAACAATAACAATAACAACAGCTACTACTACCTCTATTACAATTGCAACACAAAAAGCCACGGAGTCCATTTTGTGTTGGCCTATGACTTCTGGGCATGAAGCCTGATCTGGACTGTGGTTGATCTACCCAGTGACATCCCACTGGAGAGCATACCCCTTTCCTAGCAGTCGTCAGTTGCAAATAACTTCTTGGTTATGAATGGGACTTTGTGTCCACTTCCACTTCTGAGCTGGGATCTAGTCTGGTTGAATCTGTGCAAGGCCTTGAACACGCTGTCACAGTCTCTTTGAGTTCATATGTGTATCAGCCCTGTTGTGTCTGGAAGATGCTGTTTCTTTGGAATCATCCACCACCTCTGGCTCTTACAAAGATGTACAGAAACAGGAACTTCACACACTGCAGAATCACTTTGGAGGACATTTAACAATTGCAGATGCAAACAGCTGTAAAACTCAATAGTCGTCACCAGCATATGAAATTAGAGTTGGTGAAGATACGCAAGAGCTGACTTTCTGAGGCCTGAGTCTTGTAATGAATGGGACACTAAAATGCCACTCATGCCCATCCACAGGGGAATGGCTGAATTCATTGTGGCATATTTAAACAATGGAATGTTGCAGCTGGTGTCAAGTGGAAGCTACATGCAACATCAAAGATACCCTGAATGACTTAATGCAGAATGAATCAAGGAGAATCATGTGTGTGGTTTAATATGATAGCTGTGTCCGTGGAGGTGATACGTTTATACACTTTGGTATTTTCTTCCTAGTTTAAAGCTATCTGAGACATGAGCAAAGCAAACAGATGGTGGTAAAAATACATTCTGGGTCAAAGATGGATTGAAGGACTTAGTGATGTTTCCAAAAACATAAAAACATCATAGTCTGCTTACAGGCACCAACAGGGTTCAGTTCCACTAACAATTAATTGTGAAGACTTTGTCAAGGCTCCAAAGGCCTGCACACAGACTGGTCCTCACTCTTGGCCTTCATGATAATCTTTTCCTTCTTAGTCTGTTTTCTATTCAGCCTTCCAAGCACACTTCCTTCTCGGATCCTCCTTGTCCTGTCTACCTGAAATGAACATACCTGAAAAGTTTGATTGATGGTTTTCTCGGGTGTCAGCCCCACTTGTTGAGGACGAATCAACCTGGTCTATGGGACATCTGGGGTAAAATGCTCCTAAGCAACTCCATTGAAAATAATTCATCAGTCAGTGTGCATCCGAGGATTAGAATAATGGTATTTAAATCTTTATTGCAAATACCTTGCAGTGATTAAAAAAAAATGAGTGTTCATATTCAATCTGCTTATGTTTATGTGTATATCACCCCACTTAGTATGACATTACAAGCTATATTATAATGTGCTTATAAATTATACATATATCATAAACTACATATCTCACTGAATTTAAAATATGTAAATAAATAAATGAAAGCAGAAGTGGACATATTCCTTCATATCTATCCATGATGTTTTCATAATTTCTTTGGTGGTGCTGTGGGTCAAATCTAGGGCCTCATGCTCACTGGCCAGGCATTCTACCACTGATTTTATAGAAGTTTTGACTGAAAGGAGCGAGTGTGTGTGAACAACTTAAACCAAATATGTATGAAAGTGCTGTAAGTATATCTGCTTTATATGCTAATTGAAAAATGTTCTGTAATCTTAAGCAAAAGGAAACGCGGAGTTAGAGATGTGTCCTGTGGTTGTGAGCAGGCACTGCTCTTGCCAAGGCCATGGGTTCAATTCCCAGCACCCACATTTTAGCTCATACTGTCTCTAACTCCAGCTTCAGAGGATTCAATGCCCTCTTCGGGCTTCCACCAGCACTGCTTGCACAAAATGCACAGACATACATGTGGGCAAAACATACACACACACACACACACACACACACACACACACACACACACACACACATACACACACACAAATAAATTTTCAAAAATGTTCTATGTGAGGGTCATCATTAATACTGAATGCGAAGTCGTATTTCCACAGGTCTATTTTAGTAAACTCTAAATATAGTAGCAAATTTCTCGGCAACCTGACGTCATCACCCCTTTACCCTGTCAAGTGGCCGATGAAGAAAAGCGTGTTGTACAGAAGCCCAGAAGAAAAGGGTGGACTTAGCAGTTATCCTCAACCGATTAAT